CCCCCGGCTGGGGGCGTTTGGCGCGAGTTGCCAATCGTCTCGTCGCACCAGGTCCGAGGCCGCACTTTTCGCAACGTGGAGCCTCGGTGTGTCTTCTCTCCTCGGTGGGCTCCACTCGTGTCTGGTCGCCTGCATCCGGCGGGCTTGCAGCAACAACAGTCGAGTGAGACGATGCAGCCAGACACTGTCGGGCGGATGAGGCGTCGGGGAGGCGACGGGATTCGAACTGGACGGACCGAAGAGCACAGGATTCATGCTGACGTTGGTGAGGTGGCGTAGGACGATGTTGAGTCGCTTGGAGGTGTCCAGAAGACGAGGGATTGGCTGTTAGCCGTGGCGACAATAACTTGGCAACTGGGCAATTTGGCAATTGACCGAGCCGAGAGGAGGACACAAGAGTCAAGACGGCCTCGGACTACTTTGCACTCAGACCCGAAAAAGCCAGTCGTCTCAGCTGAAATCACTGAGCTCCACTTGGCCCAATCACGGTTGCCAGCCTTTCCCTTCACTTCGTGTCGAACCCGGCCGTCTCAAACGCCTCTGATCCTGCATGAACCGGATCCGACTAGGCCAGATGAGAAGTAATGGCGAAGTCAAGTTCGTTGCAATGAGAGAGAAAGAGAAAGAGCGAGAGAGAGAGAGAGAGAGAGAATGAAAGAGGTGGGTAAGACTCGAATGAAGCGGGAGTGGGCAAAACTGGGACGATTGGTCAAGCGGGATTTGATGACGAATTCAAGAAAATTCGGTCAGGCTTACTTTCGATTGGTCCACCTCAGTCGAAATGCCATCTGTACATTTGATCCGATCAAGCCTTCCGCTCCACCTCTTCTCTCATTCAACACCATTCCGCCTTGTCTATATTCCGATTAACTTGACTTCGATGAAATTATTGTTGTTGTGATTTGCATTTTGTGTAAAGGTACCTGGTTCCTATTTCACACTCACGGCAAGACGATAGACGATTCCAATTGTCATGCTCTTTTTTGGCGCTTTTAACAATAACATCTCCTCAATTGATTCCGGTTAAAATAGGATGCTTGTCAAATTTCACTGGACTCAATCCCCCAATTAAAACATCAAGCTAGCTACCAGCCAAGCAGACTATCCAGCTATACTTTATGAGCCACATATACTTACGGCATCAAGTCAAAAAGCAAATATGCAATAAAATATGCATGCACACATATAGAAACCATTTATATGTAAATATAAAGAAAAAGAAACCATATATACGTATATATGTTTCTATGCGTATTTATTTGTTTATATATATATGTATGAACACTAATAAATTAATAAATATTTATTTATTTGTTTCTATATATGTATATATATATATATATATA